GAAAGTTAGCGGGGGACATTTCCTTTGAACAGTCATTTAAACACTAAACCATCAAACAGCAAATGAAAATAAAAAATTTGGTTTCAGAGACTCTCATTTGTTACCACTCTAAATGCCAATAAATTGGACAAACTACTTTGCTTTTAGTATTCTACAAAAATGATAATTAAGTGTAAGCTAAACACTGCAAACGCTTCATCTTACACACACACTCAGGTTAACAAAAAGTCTGCTGCCCGTGATAGCAACCCCTTTCTAGTACCTTTAGGGGTTGTCCATCGTGTGCTCTTAATGGCTTACAACAGTAGGTTCACAGTCCTGGGTCTGGCACAGCCACTATTTGAACTGCTTCATTGAGAAAAAAAAAAAAAAGCAACAGACTAGCTTAGGAACAATCAATGTGGTATGGAATCTTGTCACCACTAAAAAGCTGCTGGTAAAACTGGTACATCATTCCAGCACCTTGCTGTTATCCAGGATTAGAAGATGTAATGCCCAGTTTATCTTCTCACTGTGTAATTACAGCTACAGCAATGATGTATTTCTTCATCCAGATAACTTAGCTACAGGTAACCTTGCTTTGCTGGATGCAGTCCTTTGACACGGGTATACTCCATCACTAGCAGAGTAAACACACATTATTTGGATGTAAATTTAGTGCTCAAAGCACTAGCCTACATAAATCCATGGCGGGGAACTGTCACCCAGGTTTGCTGCTTTGTGAGGACCAAGAAGAGGATGCACAGTAATGAACACTGACGGCACCACACAGCTGTAAACCTACCCAAACTTCGCATAGGTATTTCAGTCTTCACCAGGCTTGAAGAAAAAGTTGCTACCCCATTTAAGATTTAGCTGAATATTCCTGAAGTCAGAATCTTAATTCATGTATTCAAGCAGCTCTTCTCACACTATAGAAACAGGCCTGAAACTGCTCTGTTCCTGTGGCTGCAGAGTGTCCCGTCCCCACTGTCTCTTCCATTTCTCCCTCTCCCCCAGACACGTGGCTGTTAGGCTCGGTATGTAACTCTATTTCTGAATGATCAGAACTGTATTTCAAAGTGCTTGGGAAGTGTCTTCTCTTTGATGAACACAATCTCTGGGCGACCCGTGGCTCCAGAGCCTGAGTCTGTTTTGTGTGGATTCACCAGGGATGTCTGATGAGAGCCAGTCTATCCCCTGACCCCTCCCCCCTTTTTTAGCATTTCAAACCAAGAAGGGACACAGACAATTACACAACAGGAGAAATGGTGGCACAGATTACTTCCAGGTCCCTTTTCTAAGCTGTTTCTACTCTGAGCAACTTTACACTAAAAGATGAAACCAGTCTGTTTTGGAGGTGCTCGCCAGCGTCTGCATGGGAAAGTGCCAAAGAACTGACTCTTTCTGAGTTTATGCAAAATAAGGACGCAGGCTGCTTGTTTCTCCAAGTCCCAGTGCTAAAGGAGCCCATAAAATTCAACCACTGATGCCTGGAAAACGCCATCGTTCTGGAGGTTTTAAAATGGCAACTCATTTATCCGCCACCATCAACACATATATGCAAATGTGCAGACCAGTTTCTTTTTCTAACTATCCTATTACTAACTTTTCGTGCTCTTAGCTAAGACCATTTCCTAGGCTTGTCTGAATGTGGTAAAGCTATTCCATTGCTAGATAACTCAAGGAGGCCAGTCTGGAATGTTATTCTGGAAGGGACTGTTTCATGATGTAGGCAAAATAACAAGATTGCCAACCTCGACGTAAAAGGAAAGCTCATTTTTAATATTCCTTCTATTTTAAATTGTTTGGAGTCAAGCATGAAGAAGGGTCAGGGGTATTAACGTACATCCGGGACACACAGGTCACACATTCTGACACGACACAGTGACAGCCATGCTGGCGTCTGCCGACGACGCTGAAGGAGCCCTTTCCAGAAGCCTGGCGGACTCAGGACAGCGGCAGGGTTCCCTCCGCGCCTCCCAGCCCTGCTCCAAGTCAGAGAGGAAAAAGAATGGAGACAGAAATGGAGCTTATGCTGTGACTGTTGCTAAATCAAAGAAAAACAGTGAAAAGGAAGGTTTTTCAGAGGGTGAGAAAT